CACAATGTAGGAACGTTGTCCTTCATATGGTGTGATTATGCCTATTTGTTCAGGACGCATGCCACCCCTATAAAACAGAGAAAATTGCAACATCGTGAACCACACTGCCGTCCTACGTTGAAAACAAAAACAATGGTTACATGTAGACGATTGTGTCCAGACAAAATAACAGTAGTCAACAGTGATCGAGCACTTAGACCTACCTAATCAGCTTGCTGGCCAATTTCTCCACATTCGCTGCTTCAGTTCTATTCAAAAACGATGTACCGCTAGCGCTCATTTCTTCTTGCCCATAGCACGACCAGAAAATCATTGGACGCCCGGGAACCGGCCATTCCCAATCCACACCTCGAAGCTGACGTTCGGCTAGAGTAACAATGTTTACTTAAGACTTTTGTCAATTGAAGGAGGATAAAAGCAAGTTCTCGAGAACGCTTACTTTGAGTCACTCCATTTTGAAGACTGCCCTCGTAAAAAACATTACTTGGGAAAGAGGATAACTCCGGATGCATACGATATTGAACCTAAACGCAAGTGGTCAACCTTCAACACAAAAGGAGTTCTTATAGAGTAGCCATACCTGGAGCCTGATAGGTCGATTGCCAAGAAGAACGAGACGCTCGAACAGAGACTGGGATAAGCCAGCTTTGGAAGCCTAAAAAAGAAATCATACACAAAACAATTAAGCGATGCTTCAGCATGAAGTTGAAAAATAAACCTCACCTTCTTACAAAGAATAACGGGTCCTAATTGGCAATGATCTCCTACCAGTATGAGCTGACGGACACCTCTCACAATCGAAACAAGCACTTCTGGTTCAGTTGCTTGGGTCGACTCATCAACCAGAACACACCTTAAAACAACAATTCCGATCAAATGCACAGGGAAAGTTTTAGAAAATGAAAATCACAATAGAATTAACTCCAACTTGATTTTTATCCTCGACAAACGTGCGTCGGCCGCCGAAGAACACGTACAACAGATCACATCTGCAGCCGCCAACAGCTTATGCTCACTCATTTTCTTCAAATTAATATAACGCTCCTGATCAGCCGCCGACAGCTCTCCAATTTCTTCCTGAAATGGCATCTCCTCTTACTTGTAAAGTTCATATGAGACAGTCAGAAGTACCTTCAGCTGCTGCAGTTTTTGAAGCTCGGCAGACTCCTTGAGCGCTTTCAGCTGAGCATGCAAGGCAAGGAATTCAACGTTGGTATCGAGGGCTTCCCTAGACTTCGCATACAGTCGAACAACCTAAGTAATAGAACGGTACGAACATTCTACTAGAGCACAAAAAAGTCAGAATTTTATAGTTCACTTTACTATCTGATGGCAATTTTTTGATTAGATTCGCTGCATTTCTTATAATTGTCACGATTAAATAAGCAGTCGATAATAAATACAAATATGTGGATGTAGGCAAGTCCCACCTTCAGTCCAGTTCGGTGAATCTTTTCAGCTAGCTGGTCAACCGCAATGTTAGACGGAGAGCAAACCAGAACTTGACCTTGAGTTTGTTGCACAAGGTGATAGACGATAGTGGCCGAGGTTACCGTCTGAACGCATGAACAATAAAATTCGTTTTCAAGTTGAAAGGCCAAGTAATCAGTACACAAAACACCATCGCGGCGCTAAAAGCTAGTGGTGATTCATACATACCTTTCCAGTTCCTGGCGGCCCTTGAATAAGACTCAGCGGCCTCATGAGCACTGTTTTCACAGCATGCATTTGACTGTGATTCAACTCAGGAAGTCCGGGCGCCGACAGGCGCTTGGGTTGTTGGACCTGTACAAGCGGCATAAACCTATTGCGCTGAATTGCTGGAATAAATGCTCAATCTTGGAATCTGCAAACCTTGAAAAGAATCTCATCGATATCATGTCCCATAAGCTTGTGAAAAATGTACTGGGAAACACAGTGAGGATCTTTTTCTAGTGTGTTCAACGCCTGATACATCCGATCGAAATGACGTCGAGTTCCAAACGGCCTGCAACAATGCATTAGAGGAGAAGGACTTGGAGTACCAGTTTCCTTGCTCACCTCACAAGTAAAGTTGATGCGCGGATCAGTAGGCATTTTCTCCGAAGCAGCAGCACGCATTTCTATCCCAATCTCGTCGCTGTGATCTAAAAAACATACATAGGAAGGAATTTGGAGAAAAAATCCTCAAGCATTGTAAAAATCATGTTGTAGCAGTTCATGACTGCTTTTTCACAGATTTTATTCGGAACAATCAGATCAGCAGTTCTTCACAGAACCTATGCTTTTGTCAAATTTTCCTCAACATAACAAGAACTCACTGTCCGGGATTTTGAAAACCTGCCCCAAACACTGCCACTCCCTCTCGATCGTTTGACTATGCTTCAATCGTAGCTCGTCACCAATCATCAATTTCATGCCTGCAAAAGTAAATTTATCCGGAAAGGATAAGGGCAAAAAAAGGGCCACAAAACTCATAAAAGTCTCCACTAAAAAGTGAACAACGCCTTGAATGAATTTCCAGAAATTTCAATTCTTTAAAAACTCCACTTCCTTCCATGAATTTCGGCAAGTGGAAAAATGCGAGGTGTTTTTTGTTCAATCCCTGATCCCACCGGACATGACCAACACTTTGCGTTTGGGATTCTTTCGTCTTCCTGTCGAATTCGGCTTCCTCGCGGACTAGCGGAGCGAAAATACGCCGGTAGTGAAACGCATCTTCGTATCTAAAGAGCAAACAAGACTGTAGACTATAGAGTGAAAAACTTCAAACAATAAAATAAGGACATTGTATGAAATATTACAAACGCAAGGATAAGGGGACTTCAATATGAGTACCTCAACAGCACACTCTCTGGCTCGGTATCAACACCAGGTCCGGTCTAGGTCTTCCACAGTCGCTTTAGGATGTTCTTTCCAGAGATCTTCAAGACGGCTAGCTTGAGCGGCACTGAAAAGGCTAACAGTGTTTCACCAGATTTTCCATTAAACTTTGATAGCTACATCACATTTGCGCAGAAAAGCTTGAAATTTACATATGGTGACCTACGTCGATTACACACACGGTCTTTCGATGTGTCTCAAAATGTTTGGAATAGAAAACCACTCACGTGATATGCCGCGCTCTAAGCTGAGCTTGCTCCGATGGGATGTTCACTATCCAAGACAGAGTAAGCTCGAAAAATCAGATAGGGTCGTTAGAAAGACGTAGAAGGTCTTGCAAATTATTAAACACGATACTTGTCTCTCATGATCAATAGGTTCATTTCCCTCTTCCCTGCATTTTAGGATCTCTAGAGAAGAGATCCTGGTCGCGCCGATGTCGAAACCAAAAGTACCTAACAAAAGATGCTCGAGAACTACCTGTAAAAAAGAGCAATAGTTCTCTTACATCAGATAATACACTGAGTTAAACTACACCAATGGAAATCAGCCTTGAGCGCGGTAATGAACCCAGCATGAATACGTTTGCGCGACATGCGCGACTGATAACATTCCAACTGAGTTTTCTCCGGAAGTGGATGTATTCGCGATCGAAGAAATAATCAGGTAAAAAGGAACGTTGCAATAATGAAGACAGTAGAGGCAGTAGAATTCCTAAAAAAGTGTGCAAGCACAGGCGATAATACTCTCAGAAACCATAAAACAACACCCATTTTCTAAAACAGTTCATTCAGAAGCATGTAATACATTTATTGGAGAGAGCATCCTTCGAAATAAGCCTTTAATTAGATATGGGCCAGAAAGAAAATATTACCGCGATGATGTGATGGAATGATTTTCTATGAAGAGAGCAGAATGTTTACATCTTTCACGAATACGACTTTCATTTCACTGTCAACTCTGGTATGCTAGCCAAACTGCCTGAGGGAAGAAATGTTACAGTACCTCTTTGTGCTGAGAGCGCACTAAATGAGTGATCAAGTGCGAGCCGGATGTGCTTCCTTTGCCATTACAGAACCATCTATTACAAACTGTGCACATTGCAACACAACTTGATTCGTAAATACCACAATATCTGAAATTGCGCATATATTTCGACGCGAAATCTAAAACAGATGAGGTCAGTTCAAATGTACCCCACTTACAAGCACACTTGTCCGAACTACTTATGTATTCTTCGAACTGGTCACAAAGAAGTCACTATGTGTGCCAAATGATTAGCAAGTACTAGATTACTATATCATGAGCACAGTGCAACCCTGAGGGGCTAATAAATACCCTTCAACAACTCGCAGTCCGTGTGCACGATAGACTGACAAAAAGGCAATACTTTGGATGCCTAACGGTTTTCAACTGTGGGCTTCACGGAAGACTGCAGAAAGGATCCTACCTGCATGAGTGTTCAGGGAGTTTCTCTATTTGTGGTTGTTCATCTTCCTCAACATCATGAAATGTTAAATCCGCATTGTTTTCGACACCTCCAGTTAAATTTCCATGCGCTATCTGAAAGAAACAAAGTAGGCCAGTGATAGAATATATGATACGAATCTGTAATCCAACTTCAAAGTAATTACATAAAAAGGAACTCCATAGGAAACAACGAACTTCAAAGATTTCTAGAAGTATTCAACAACACACAATGGGGCGCTACCGCAGAGTAAGGGGACATCCTCTAGGAAGCCTGGGATGTGGCATGAAATTCACGGACAATAAAAAAATGCTCAAACACCCTCGAGCTCGCTTCCCCCTGAAATCTAGGGAAAAGGGAACTTGCTCACACATCGAGCGGTGCTTGGCTCGGCTCCAAGTCCCAAAGATGGAAGGTATGAGGGCGCAATGTGGCTTGGGGGGGGGGGGGGGCAGTCACCGCGCGCTGCTCAGCGATGCTGTGTAACTCGAACATTCCAGCTTCTCACGCATGTCAAGTGACTGCCTCACCCGGCTCCCCCACTTTCTTCACGATTTGGGGCGCGGCCGCGGCAAACCCGGCCGAGTATGCGCCATCAGCTTACCTGAGTATTCGACGTTACATTACGTATCGCAATGTAACGTCGAATACTCAGGCAAGCTGATGCCGTAATGTAACGTCGAATACTCAGGTAAGCTGATGGCGCATACTCGGCCGGGTTTGCCGCGGCCGCGCCCCAAATCGTGAAGAAAGTGGGGGAGCCCCCACCCCCCAACCCCCCTGAATTGGCTACACTCCCCCTGGCTCACGAATTTCCTGTTGCCGCAACGCCGCGCGCGGCGACTGGCCCCCCCCCGAGCCACATTGCGCCGGTATGAGCCTCAGGACTAAACCTAAATAGAAGGGGGCTATGGGGTGAGAGAGCCAATTACAGGATGGCAAATGGTAGAAAGTGTGAGCTCACAGTAGTCATGAGCAGCTGTTAAGGCGAGAGCATCAAAATGAGGTGATTTAAAGGACCAGTTCAAAGTCCTTAACCCCCCCCCCCTCCACCCAAGAGGTACCCTCAATAGAAACAAAAAAGATGTTTGACGCAGTTCTAATAGGTTGCCGCTGCAATGCACCGCACCTTGTGGTAGCGCCCAAATGGAGCTAATTCTTTCGACTATATATCAAATCAAAGTGAAAGCGATCTTGCTTGGTTTCTATGCCCATGACGGTTTTTGGCTCCCAATACCGCCAAGATGATCTTGAGACTGTGAGGATTGATTTGTAAAATCAGGTCAAAAATTTGGTCACTCACCTGAGAGCTTTGTGTCGGTATAGAGAAATGATGGTCGAAGGCGAACGTGGAATCTTGAGTTCCTCCATGTAGAACTCCATCATCATCTACAGTCTCCACAAATGTTAATGTTTCGCCAACTCCACCTCCGTACACCTCGTCAAAGTCCATACGATGACTAGGTAAAAATTAGAGGCCGTGATTCTGCCTGAAATCTGCTGATAATTCAGTGAGATTGCTTTTCTTAGAAGAGGCCCTTGTTAATGAAATCGCGTTCAAAAACCTCCGAAGGATAAAGAAATATTATAGAGTAACAATGGAAAAAGCAGACACGGACAACCTTATAATCGAGAAACTAAAAGTGAACCAAATTGACGAGCAAGGCGATTACGAAACTATCACAGGATTTCCACAAAGTGCATTCCAGATGCTTCTAGATCACAACAAGTGACTCACCAATGAAAGTGGGAAGACCTACTAAGCCGGAAAGTGTCATCCGCCTACATTTTGTCAAAAAGCAATTCAAAGAGGTTTCAGCGACTTTCCTCAGAAAAAATCCAAGCGCACCTTCTCCCAAATGAACCGCCGCAATTCAAACCTTCTCGCCCGAAAGAAATACAGCTGGCCTATGGAAGTGGACCGAGTAAATGACTACTGTGCTATGAAAGAAGCCGATTAAGAAATGATGTATCGTGATATTGTCGAAATGATACCAGCTATCAGTACCACGTTACAATCACCTGCGGCGCCAAATTGTATACGCAACTTTTAAAGGTCTCCAAACACCGTAACGCAGTCGCATTCGTCCACCCTTGTTAGAAAGGAATTGGCGCTGCTTCCACTTCGGTTCACCAAATCTTCACATTCTCAGAGGTGTATGCTATTCTTTTGCTGCGGTATGAAACGATTTCATGTCAAGATAATAATCATAACTTGCTCGGATCATCTGCACTACTTCATACGAAACGTACCATGCCGGCTGCGCTGTATCGCCTCGACCCATCTCATACAAATTTGACGGATCTCGGGCGGAAAACGCTGTGAAGGTGTAGAAGAATATGTAGTACCTTCCTGTAGGGTAGGTAGGGCTTGTGGTGCCCTAGTTTGTGCCGCCTAGAGTGATTGCAATTTTTCTATACATTACCCGGAGCGTTGAGAGTGGATGTACTATGTGATAGTGTTGAGAGTGGACTCTCAACACTATCACATTGTAAAGAGAGGAGTTCCTCGACCGCTATTCACCCTGCCTGAAGGTGTGGTTCAACGTCCTTCCACCAGTATGCCGACGGGAGTGGCCCGTTGCCAACTAGGCAAAAGAAGAACTTCATGTCACTACAACGATGGTCAGATGATCTGCTGCCCATCGGACGTCTAGCGAACCGGGGAGCAATATTCCGAAGACTCACAATGGACGGCGTCTTCGAGAGAAATATCAGTTTTGGTCAGTTACACAATATTACCCGGAGCTTCTTTCCCTGCAAAAAGATTGGGATCACTGCAAGAATTTTTGCACCTCGTGCTCCCCCCTCCGCTGCCTCCCCTTTTTAATGGAATAAACCCAGACAATGCTCATTAAGACATTGCGGACCACGTGGTGTAGCACGTGCAGTATGCCATTACACAGAAGAGGATAATTATATTCGATTTATTTGGCGCAGTCCAAGTTACAAAGTTATCATTAGGTCTTTTAGTGCATAAAAATGTCATATATTCATACGTTTTTAAAACTATAGACATATTATTGGGCATTGATAGAACAAGCGGCAAAAACCATGGAGATGCTCGTAACGGCCGTCTGCAATGGGTGAAGGTTGATGCAAAATTGGATTTGCAGGTGGTGACGTCATTGTCGAGTGCTACGACGAAGTACTGCCGAATGACCAAAAGCACAGGCTTGTACGGCTTATTGCCATCGTATTTTCACGTTTTATTGATTCAAAATGATAGTCGGGTCACCTCGGTAGATTAAGCTTCAGCGAGGAGATCTGGAGGTTGTGTTTGCCCTAGTGGGAGATTGTTCTCGAAAAAGGGAGCAGCACTGAAAATGTGCTGCGCAGAGGTACTTTTCCTGAGAGAAGGAGGGGTGAGGCTGGGAGGGGAAAGCGAGGTTCACTTAGTAGAAGAACTGGATTTGTGAAAAATCGAAAGCATTGCAGTGGAGAGATGAATACGTAGTTGGCAGATGTTGTTCCAACATTTTTTTTTAAATACGTACGCTTGCGGTGGCGTCCCCCCTCGCCTCCCTCCCAGCCTGATCGATGTGAGAACAAACAAAGTGAGCCCCCCCCCCCCCTCTGGCCTCCCCAGGGCAACCGTTCGTTGGACAAAGGCCAACAAGGAGGTGGGGGGGGTGGTTCGTATTCGGAGTTGGGCTGCGGTCGGCTGGTCTCAGAATCAAATACTATAGAATGGCCCCATGATGGCGATGGCAGGCGAGGGTGATGGAGGATGGTCGTGAAGGGTTGAACCCTGAGGGGGGTCGTATCGAGGCCCTCTAGAAGGGGGAGGGGGTCGTAAAATTTCCGAAATTGGTCCAACGTTGACGGTTGACTTGCTCCCTACCATATGCTGGTCGATGGAAACAAACAATTATGCGCAATAGTAACCCTTTCAAAACTCAAGAAAGCCGCCAAGACATCATATACGGTACCATTCAAATGGGCTTCGATTCTGGGCGGATGCGGAATGCATGGCGCGTCCAGATCTTGAATTCAGAGACTTCGAAGCGTCCTGCTTTCACTTTTACTAGGGCATAGTACTATGCATTTCTATTGCACCGTCAACGCAACAAAATGTAAAAAGCAGACAGTATAATAACTTTAAGCTCAATATCAATTTGTTACGGCCACACATTGTCACGTGGAAATTGACAGCCGCGTATTTGTGAAGAGTAGCCATTCCGTCAAAACAACTGAATCGAACTTTTGTATTGCCCAGTACACAGATTTCACAATTCTACTGTTGATTCATTGAGGTTTTCCAAGGTTATATTTCGCGGTATAGTAGCAGTCTTCATCGTAGAACTTCCCATCCAGCAGTATGTACTGTCCATCTGGAAAAAAATGATTAAGACAATATTTCACCTTTTTAGAGTAACTTAAGTTTTCATCATTTTCGGTTGGAGTAGGGAAAAGGGCATTGCGTTGAACTTTGAAAACACAGCATGAATGGCTGTGTCTAGAACGAGTTTCAAATGAAGTGTGGTGAAAATGTAGTTTGGGGGGCCACCCTATCAAATCGAAGTGGAGGCGGAAAGACACTCATATCTAATCAAAGTAGAGTTGCGGGAAGGCATATCTTATCATATCTTTCACTGAGACCGTGGCCTACGACTAGTACGTTTACCCTTGTCATATTATTCTATGGCTAAAATGGCTGCTACCTTGCTGGCTCTTCACTTTCACCAAACCTTCTTGCGACTGCCATGCAAGCCCTCGAAGAAAGGGCCTTTCAGGTATCCGATTTTGTACGGATTGGTATCCCTATCTAATCATACACTCAGAGACTCTGGATGTTGATTAGATATGACCGCCCTCCGCAGCTCCACTTCGATTAGATATTGCCTTTCGATTAGATATCATGAGTGGCCCCCTCGAACTACATTTTCACCTGAAATGTAAAGGGCCAGAGGGAGGAAGGAATATGTAAGAGAATGGTAAGAAGAGCTGGAAAGAGAAGAATAGAGCAAGTAAAGTATTTCCATTCGATATTATTTCTAATAGGGCTGAGGTGGTGTTCTGGCATTATTTGGCGCTACATTCCCTGCTCATGGTCTTGTAGTCGAATCTCTGCCCAGAACAGCTGAGTTACACCCACGACCGAATGAGGAAAGTCATGAATTTGTGGGTCACGATAAGCATTAAGCCTAGCAGTGTGGGGAACTACTAGGTTATCCCATAAATAGTGTCGCTTTTATTCAAACGAGATTTTTTTTCTAAAATCCTGCGCTTTTATACTAACCTATACATTTCGAAAGGGAACCGCCTGCTCTACGAAAAGCTATGCTTCCAGATTCGTTTTGAAGTTTCTGGCTTGCGAAATGGGAGGTCCAGCTGAAGGAAAATAGCCAAACCGACAACTAGCACTAACTCCATTTTCTCTGGGAGGAAATCAACCAATGATGTACCCTCTACTTAGTCATGACCTCTTCTAAACATTCCG